AAATAATATATGAACTATATAAGTTAAAAAAATATTAACAATACATTCTGTTTGAAATTAAATTATCTATTCTTTCGTGTAAATGTATGTGCATATGTATGTATATTATTATCATTTATATTTTATTCACATTTAAATTTAAATTTTGTTGTACATTAATTAGTCCCGCAGACTTCATTTTTGCACCACGGCTAGGGTTGGCTGGAAGAGATCTCTTATAGAGATAAGCTCACCTTTGTATATGTCCATTGTAACGTGTGTTTCATGTGTCTTTTCTTTGTACAATAAAGAATATTATATAAATTTTATAAACAACGGATGTTTACATGTAAAGAGATATTTCTTTTTATTCAATTTGAAGGACGTAACTGTAAATTTTATTTCATATAAACAGCTTAATAAATTGTAGTTTTTCTCAATACGTTCAATTATTTAAGACAACTAGCAATCATATATTTTTTTGTCATTATTGAACAGGAATTTAATTTAAAAAGAGCCTAAGTGAAAACTGTGGAGCAGATGCATGCGCGGAGCAGAGTCGAACCTAACAGAGCATTCGGTTTTCTTGTAGTGATGCCCATAACCTCTCCATAGAGCGGTTGCAGATCCACGGACCATGGTTGGTGCGCGAACGTAATGGATACCCCCTTTTATATCTTTAAAAGAACGTGAATGTACTTACCGCCTGAAAAACGATAATTGATTGTTTAGATTCATAAAATTAACGTTATATTTAACCATGTAAGTCTCAATTTTTACAAAAAAATATTTTATCACTTTTTAGTTAGTGGATGTGGAAATGAAAGTTTGTATGTTGGGTATGCGGGTACTTGCTGACAATGTTATAATTTCTTTGGAAGCACTGTTAGTTTCCATGGATAGTTTCTGTAGGTGAGAAGTAAAGAACCTTAGGAGTCGTACTGCTTCAGCTCGAATTTAATTTTTTGCCATACCGAATCGGTTCTATACACTAACACTGTCTTTATTTTTCCGTATTTATTTTTTTACAAACTAAACGCATTTGAAAAAATTTATATAGATACTATACGTGTTCTATTTAGTTCAGTTGATATAAAAAAAACATGGCGTCAAAAAAATTTCATAAATATTATTATTGCAAAAATGTGTTTCAAAAACGGTCAGATTTTAATACTACACGAAGACACCTAGCGATTTGGCATTATAAACAACGGAATTACGCAAATGCCTGTTTGGCATTCTGCACTTTCGTGGCTAACTTTTGAGCTAAACAGTCATTTTGTGAGTTGTGTCTGTGTTTACAAATTTATAAGCCATAAAATAAGCATCTTGTGTTGTTAAAATTTTAAAAAATGAGGTCAAAACATTGACTTACAATTATATGGACGTGGGGTCCACGCTAAAAAGTGTCCGAACTTATAGGGCGTTAAAATCGTATACAGAGCGTCATTCACGCTTTAGTCTTCGTTTGTTTGACTGACAGCGAAGCAAGCAAAATTAGACAGTACTGCGATGACATTACAATTTAAATTCAATGTTTTAGCTTTTTCATATTCCTTTACATGTCACTACGTTTAAATAGGTTGACTTGGGACATTTTTTTCGTGGTTTTTGTATTAGACCCGTCGTCCATTTATTTGTAAGTCAATGGGTCAAAAACTTTGATCGCCTCTCTGGTAAAAAAGTGAACTTTTGACATGCGGCCGTTTAGCATTTAAGTGATGATTGGTGTATGTATACAGCGGTTTTCTTGTAAAATTTCGAGGTAAGTTCGTGTTTTTTTTCTATAGTGAAAATTTTTAGGAATTGTGTTTTCACGCCATATACTAATCAAGTGTATATCATCAATTTAACTATATATTTTTTTCTAAAGTGATTGATTCAACACTCGCTGTTATACGCAATCAAGCAAAGCCATGTGAGGTTGTATCTACTCATAGGTACTAACAGAGAACCCGCTAAATTTTGGCTTTCAACTGAAGCCCTGTAGTTGTTACATTCACATTTATCCCTAAATTTGCAAATTACCCGGATTAACGACACGCCGTGCCGTCTGTCGCCATCGGGCACTCGAAGTCGCGAAGTCAGATCTGTGTCACATTTTCTCCGCCTTTCTTATTGTATTCATAGTAATTTACATTGCGCGACGACGACACCCCACACCTCACCTCCTAGAACCTGTATCGCGTTGAAATACCTCGCCCTAAGGCCTATTTGCTTCTTCAAGCCTCGTTTGTTTTTTATTTAACATATTGTATTTGCCCTTAAGGTTGATTTTAAATGCCTAATTAAGAGCCTCATTCTCTTTAAAACGCTATGTAGTAAAAACACTACGAGTATTTGGCACTTTACGTTCTTTACCTCTCAGACCTACAGGGTTTGTTAACTGTTCCTTATAACCCCATAAATCACCAATATCAAGCTAAGAAGCTAAAATGTAAACTTACCTCTGCGTGGTACTAACAGACGAACTGAAAATAATGCAACGCAAATTAAAAACAAAAGTTTAAAAAATAAATCAATCTGTTCATGCAGCAGTAAATGCAATCAAATTGTTACACTCTATTAATTTTAAAACCTTTGTTTTTACAAACAAATCCCTAAAGCTGTGACACGTGACGATATACCACATTTCTGTAATGCGGGTTAATGGTTTATAGGGTAGGGGACATTCACGTCGACAGTCTCACTAAAATCGAAGACGTGAGTTTCGCAAGTAACAACGCGTTGTTATATTGATTGTTGTTGTATGCTCTCTGCGTAAACCTAGTCCACAGGCTGCACGCGAAAAAGTACTGGCAGTACGCTTTAAAGAGTGTAATCTTTACCTGCTCTGCGAGCCGGCGTGTTGCGTCGGACAGCCAACGACCTACGCTCCGTCACGATATCTAAATCATCAGGTCGTCCGTTACCCAGTGACCCATGTACCTACTTGAGTTTAGTGACAAAGTTCAAAGGGACCCCATAAAGTGTTACCATTGGTACATTGGAATAACTTCTCTTGCCCGCCTCAAAAATAACTACTTCGCTTTTTTTGACATTATACTTGAGTCCGTGTTCAACGGCATACAACTCGCATATTTTTGTCAACTTCCTCATCGCGTCAATCGAAAAATTGTTTACGGCGAGTCCATCAATGTGACAACAATTTATACATAATATTTACTTATCCACTTATAAACGAGAATACATATTTATTGGTCCCATTAAGTAATTTTTGAATTGTTAGATTGGGTCTTTTCAACATCACTATTTTTGAGTTACAACAGTATTTGATTTCATGTTCGATGTGTAAGATTCTTCAGAGTTTTCCACTTTGTCGGCCGTTCCAGTCCACCCGTATAATAATGTAAGGAAGATTCTATAAATACACATTAAATACCGAATAAATAAGACAGAACACTTAACTACCTTAAGCCAGAAACTGGGGGCCGTACGAGGTAACTACAACCGTGTCACAGATCTTCAGACTCCCACCCGTTACTATTTACATTTATATACACAAAAAAACAACTACGTGTGCGTGCTTGCGTGGACGTATGTATATACACTCCCGGACACTTAATTAGAGCCACCTCGCATCTGTATTATATGGCCTAAGCTTAAACAATGTTCGATTGATCAAGAACTATCCTACGCAATTTTGAAACTAGTATATTAAAAGTCTTTTCCATAAGTCCTTGTTGGAAATTTGGACTTGCAAAACCGCGGGAAACCTTTTTCTACGACAATAACACTATTTTTGTATTCTAGCCCTTTAAGGCAAAAACCCGGGCTCGAATTATGTGTCCGGGAGTATATTATACTAGTACTTAAATTTAAATACCGGTATTTTTGGACCCAATGTTAGGACCGTTTCCTCATGCTCCTATTGGGTGCTCACACTGGTACGAGCACGAGAACTAATTTGTCCTTATGCTTCTACTGGTAGGACCAAAAGGATAATAATATCCTCGTGTTCCTGCTAATGCTTCCTAAACTGCCTCCGTGGCCGAACGGTTACCACGCCGGACTGCCACGCAGAGGTCCCAAGTTCGATACCTGGGCCGGGAGAAATATTTGTATGGCCTACATTTATTTATCTCGTGAGTTTGGGTGTAGTTTGTGGTTGTCTATGTGTGTGTCCATGGAACCCGCGACACAGGGCTTCCCCAGTGCGGGCCAATGTTGATTATGTGCGTGTATTATACCCATGAGATTTAAAACTATAGTAAAACAAAAACATTATACTAAAAGTTTTTTAATACAACTTCTACGTACTTGGATGAATAAAATCCATGGTAATGAACCGTTTAGCTCTTTCAGGTTGTTTCTGTATATACTACACAAATATCTACATTAATTATAAAGAGCAACCCTTAGAGTTTCTTGCTCATTCTTCTCAGGGGAATCTGCCTTAAGAATGTGCAGTGGAGTTTAATCAGTATGACGATTTCAAGTGTAATTTTCTTACTTATGAAATAAAGATATTTTTGACTTTTTTTATTGAAATATATATTCTATTCTAGCTCAGTGTATTATTAGTTATTAGATACGACGTCACGATAGGAGCATAACGACCCTCCTACGTAAAGTATCGTATGTCGAAATTGCCAAGTTTACAGGGAAGTGTTTTAAAGTTTTGAATCCATTGAAAGGAACATAACAGGTGACTTTAGCATTTTTCAGTTTTATTCGGCAAACGGTTACTCACACAGAGTATTGTAAAATCCTACATATCGGTTAGATGATCTATTCGATTATCTTTGTCGTGTTATGCTCATTTCAGTAAATTCAGAACTTTAAAATGCTTCCCTGTAAACTTGGCAATTTCGACATACGATACTTTACGTAGGAGGTGTCGATAAGGACATAATAGTTCTCGTGCTCCTACCAGTGGGAGCACCCGATAGGAGCATGAGGAAACGGCCATTACAATAACACTAAAATAAGTTATACTGGTTCTATAAAATTTTTAAACACAACGTACATGACAAAAAAAATGTTAATTCGTTTGAAAAATATGAAAAAAACTTGGTAATTATGAGTAAAAGTACTTACTTCCTAAGATGAGTTCCAGTACACTTCACTTTAACATGGTCCGAAGCTTTGAGCCAGTAAATGCCGTTGCCAGTAACCTTCGTGGCCTTAGATGACACGGAGTAATGTCGATCGGACTCATATATGATGTCGTAGTACAAGCACTTTATGCTCATAATCGACATTAAGGCTTGTGGTGTCACTGTGCATTCGTCTTGCTAAAAAAAGAATGTATTTCAAAAATTCAGTCTCAATCTATTGTGTCTCCAGTAGAAAGCTTAACATTAAATCGCGCCCCTCATGGAAGAATGGCATAAGTGGAGTTACGTCAAACATGTTTATTACTCCATTAGATACAGAAAAATGTAATCCACATCCTCTCCAATTCTTGTAACTCTATCTACAATATTAGTCAACAGAGTTACAAGAATTGGAGAGGATGTGGGTTATATTTTTCTCTATCTAATGGAGCAATAAATGGTTTTTGACGTAACCCACTTACGTCATTCTTCCATGAGGGGTGCGAAATGTTAAAACGGGTCAATAAACACTGAGGTATCGCAAAACATTGTCTTAACGAAACATTTCTTTATTTAATACCCTTGCAAGGTCATTTTACAAGGTGATTTAACAGATTTCATCGCACAGCCATCAAACCATGAATAGCCACACACTGGCTCCGCCTTTTTCATATTAATAATTAACTAATTACAGAACGACAACCAGTGGCGCACCGACCACGTTCTACTCCACAAAGTCATGAGTATGACAAAGGTTCAATTTTACTAAACAACTACGCCCAGGAATTAAATAAAAAACAAAAACCCAAAAAATATTCTGTTTATCCAAATTTTTTTTTTTTGTTACAACACCCGAAAATAAAGCTTATAACCTTGCAAAACGGTCTCTTCTTTTTAGGAGAACTAAATTAATAACCCCAATTCGTCGTCGTTCAGCAATTAACCGCTAGATACAACTTTGATTTAAATTTCAATATAACATCAAAACGTCGTAACTTGTAATAATAGGTATTGAACTTTGAACGTAATGCCAACAGAGTAAAGTTTAAATTATATTAATAATCCGGAACTTGTTATTTCTTTTTAAATTTGAAACTATGACCAATTTTGTCGTGTTTCAAATTAAGAATGTAGTATGAGCTTTGGCGACATCGGTCCTGATCATTGACCTACCAATAAATGGTCCTGATAGTAATCGAGGCTTAAAGCACTTCCATTGTTTTTTTTTATTCCGTGGTCGCAACGTAACGGCACTAATTAAAACGGGACATTCATTACCCTGCATTGCAGTCCGCCTTGCCGTCCGCCATGTAATGCAGGATCATGAATGTATCCTGCAACCCTGCGGGACTCCGTACGTGGACCATATGCAGAATAGTGTGTGAGCAGTCTCCTGCCTGAGGACTGCCATGCAGCATACCCCGTATTTAGGCAGTTAACGAGGAGAGGAACAAATCACCGAGGCTTCCGACATAACTGTGACTAAATTCAAAAACGAAACCATTTTACTCAACAAAATATGTAAACTAACAAGGTGTTTATGTATACACACGTTTTATAAATAGCGCTTACATTAAATACACTTTGGATACAGATGTGCAAATGAAGACTGTACCAGACTTGTGTAAATAGGCAACCTTCCTTTTTTCGTTTGTTACATAAAAAGCGTGTTAAAGGCTTGCGTAACGGAGAAGTAGATATAAGTTCTAACCTACTTCAGTACTTGTAGTTGTATTTAAATTTCATTAAATAAATGAAATATTAAATTAAAATATGTGGAAAAAAGACATTATTTACATTTGACTTATGGTTTTTTTATTGTTCTACCAAGTGACGCGACGAACAAGCCTGGTGCTAAGCGACACACCTGTCCCTAACGCAATAGTGCTCACATTACAGCTTGGCGACAGAAATAGATAAGATGGCAGTACTTCCTAGACGGACAAGAGTCCTGGTCACGAGTCAAGAGTGTGAAAGACACAAGGAACTCGACTGCTACGAAAATCCAACGAGGATCACGTCGTTTTCTCTTTGGATAACTCTTTTTATTAAGTAGCAGTAGAGCTCCCAGTGAAAGAGTTCTTTCATGAAAATGTTGCCATCTTACCTATTTCTGCAGTCATGTAGCAATGTGAACATTACCGCGTTCCGGATTTGAAAAGTAAGGGTGCTGGTGAAATTATATGTCCCTGGGTGATCTTTGCGATTTAAACTTGTTCGTCTCGTAGCTTGATATCATAAAAAAACTAAACTTAGGACCGGTTCACATGAGAAGCGTTTGACCCGCGTTTTGCTAACGCGCGTTTACAGCTGAAACGGGCCTTAATTTGGCGGAAGTAGCCATCGTTAGAGGCATCAACGAAGCGAACTGAAAGTTCTTTAGCTGGCAGACCAAGGGTTACACCCAAAATACAAATTAAATGTGTTTTCTTTAATTAAATTTTTATTGAATTGATATTCAATTACTTTTTGTGAAATTACTCCACTAGTTTGTTATAATTTCATAATACAATACAAAGATCGAACACTCAGAAAAAACACTCAGAAAAAATTCCTTCGACCCGATCGAAAAATAATTGAATATCAATTCAATAAAAATTTAATTAATACAGTGAATAGCGACATCTCTCGCCAGGACTGGTAGCTGTAAAGGTACTAACTGGGTGATAAATCTGTAATAGATTTCTCATAGATGGCGCTACGACTAAGAAGTCGTTGAAAGACTAAGTACAAAGACACGACGCAAGTACATAGAAAAACTCGTGAGGTCCGTTGGTTCGTTCCGTGGCTTAGTTGGTATAGCGTCTGGCACGGTATGCAAGAAGACGTCGGTTCGAATCCGACCGGATCGAAGGAATTTTATCTGAGTGTTCGATCTTTGTATTAATAATCGTATTTTCTTTCTTTCTCTTTCTTTCAAAAGGCGCAAGCTGTTTGGCTGAGGTTGAGCCTTTTGCGTTTCTCGGCAGCTCTGTAGATATAAGTACCTTAGTTAAGTTAGATACTTACGTAACACCTGACCCAATCATGGCCGTCGCACACGATTTGTGGCAGTTTCTTATCAAACTTCATGATCTCAGGCGCAAAAGGATCCAGCTCCGGGATTTCACATCCTGTGCCCTTATCTTCCTTCAGTGCTTCTTCTAAACCATGTTCTATGTACCTTTCAAAAGTAATGTGACATTTATGCAAAACAGAAATAGACTATGGACAAATGCATACTATGTTTTTTCCAGAACGGTGTAAAATGACGTTTGCAAGGTTGCCATTTCCTTGCAAAATTTTAAATAATCATGTACTTAGTTCCTGACGACAATTTTATTCTTAATGAGAATGCCAATGTTTAAAAAGGGCATTATCAATAACCTTTCTTCTGTTTTGACTATTGGCCCACTGGTAACGAAATCGATTCGTAGAGTACACGTACGCATTATTTTATTCCTCCAAGAAGACGTCTCCTTTAATTATACTGTCTTTCCAACTTTTTTAAACATAAATTACATTTAAAAAAAGCAAATTCGGTCATTTATTTCTAAAGCGTAGTCAGTATGCAATCGACAATGTCGATGGATCTATCGACTGCAACCACCTGCTGCTCGTAAACTGGCAGGCCTTATATACAATTGAACTGTCATTTTACTCCGGAAAAAAACGTAGTAAAAAAATTACACGGCTGAATTAACCAGGCATAATACGCGATGGTGAAATGTTGAAATAAATTTCGAGTACCATATTTTTGTAGGAGTGGAGCTCCTTGTAAGAGTTCGTCCAGGGAAGTACTGCTACCTTACGTATTTTATGGTTTTTGAAGGGTAAGGGTGCTGGTGAAATTGTCAACTTATGCCTCAGGGTAACGGACGCGCAGTGCCCCTCAGATCTTTGCGATTTAAGCCTGTAGTGGCAATGCAACTGTTAAGGACAGGCGTGACGCTTACCACCAGACGCATGATTTGTTCGTCCCATTACTTGATACTATAAAAAATGCTAAATTTGTCATTCAGCTGCGTAATTTGCGTTTGTTAGTAGCCATAGAGTTTATTCGGTGTTTACATGTAGCCCATGTAAATGATGTTATTTTAAAAATGAGAAATGCAACGATTATTTACAATATATGTTGTATTTTAGTTAGTGTAATGACCCGTTTTTTAATAAGCGCCATATTTATTGAAACTCAGCCATGTAATTTCGACGTTTCTCATTTCTTCCAATCCAAGATCTCTATCGTGGCACTGATATCAACTTCATGACACAATCTTGATTTTCGATTGGATTCAAAGACGTCGAAGTTTGAGGCAAAATTTCGATGTACTAAATGTATTTTGTGTTAATAAAAGAAGCACCTTTTTTCGTGAAAAATTGTTACAGACATTATGTTAACCCGTCTCACGTCCTAGATTGTAAGTAGAACCACACGATATCTTTAACGCGCATCTGTCTTTTTTTATCCAACATTTAAACAAAGCAAAATCGTTAGATACACCGCGTGACACTAGGACGTATAACGCGGTTAATACGAAAAACAAATACAAAGTGGCCTTCCTCAACAGTCGTCTTCGCAAAGTCGCAAATCTGTACACGGTTGTACATTGTACAATTCCTGTTGATATTCAAAACTTACCAATTACGAAATTTAAATAAAAGTAAATTCATTTCGTAAATATGTAAAACACAGAACCGAAACTGAAATCTCAAAGCAGTGCCGAAAGTGTTCAACCGATAAGCCACTTAAATAATTTTCTAAGCATATTAAACATAGGGGTTCCTGTCAGTACATAGAAAATCTGTCACCTTGTTTTTGAGAGCCCGTAACAAACGTTCAGTAACAATGCATTGTTTGCGAAAACAATAACACGTTAATCTTGACTGTGAAACGTCATAGCTCAATTTCGGTTGTTAGCATATTATCACAGTCTACCTCTCTACAAATGTACCTGACACTTCTTTGGAGCAGGTCTCAGAATGGGGCCGACAGAATCTAGTACAATTTAGCCGCAGAGGTACAAGTGTGCGCGTTTACCACTAAAAATCCCCATTGGTAACAGCGCCAAAGTTCCAGAACACTGCCCTTACCATCTCAAAGAGTATTGGGATACTTGGAGTCGACATCACGAACGAAGTCCAGTTCCGGAGTCATTTGGAAAGCAAAGCCAAACTGGCTTCAAAAAAGCTCGGAGTGCTCAATAGAGCGAAGCAGTACTTCTCTCCAGGTCACCGACTTTTGTTATATAAAACACAAGTACGGCCCCATATGGAGTATTGCTCGCATCTCTTTCTGCGGAGGCCTCCAAATACCAGCTTGATCCACTTGATCCCATCCAACGTAGGGCTGTTCGTATTATCGATGATCCCAAACTCACAGACGGTATGGAGCCCCTTAGCCTACGGAGAGACGTTGGCTCTCTATATGTGTTCTAACGCCTTTATAACACTCGTTTCTACCATCGCACCTCCCGCCTAAGGAGTAGAGTCCATCCCCACATCTTAGATGCCTGGCATTGGCAAGACCACGTGGGCATCTGGTTCGTTTCTTCCTCGAACCTGCATGATATGGAATGATCTTCCTCCTGTAGTATTTCATTTGCGCTATGACACGGGGTTCTTCAAAAAACGTGTTTACAGGCTCTCAAAGGCTGGCAACGCATAGGCAGCTCATCTGATGTTGCAAATTTCCATGGGCGACGATGACCACCTCCTATCAAGTGGCTCGTCTACTCGTTTGCCTCCTTGTTTACATAAAAAAAAACACTGTGGTATTACAGTACGTTATATCCAATAAACCCCTATTCATCGCCTACTTTGTCACCCTTACATGTGAAATATTTTGTTCAAATTTTAGTGGGACCTACTAAGGTACCATCTTTACCACTTTACGATACCACTCGGCCCGGGTGGGTCGAGTGTTTACGTAGAATCAAATCAACTAAAGGTAACTTACTAAAATCAAACACTTACTAGATATTCCAAATAAAATTTCAACTTAAAGTGACACACGCACCGACCATACAACTAAGTGTATAAAGTGCATTTTACCAGGTACAGATAAAAGAATGATAATATATCACGTGAAATCAAAAAAGAAATGGCATTAATATCTTGTGAACTGCAGAAAGAAATTCCATGGCTTTAGTATCATATGAAATGCAGTAAGAAAATCCACGGCACCAATGACACGAAATGCAGGAAGAAATTCCATGCCACTCATGTCATGTGAAATGCAGTAAAAAGTTCAACAGCATTAATATCACGTAAAATGAAACAAAATTCGATGGCATATTAATATCACATGAAACGCAGTAACAAAGTCCATGAAATGTAAAATGCAGAAAGAAATTCCACGGTTTTAATATCATGTGAACTGCAGAAAGAAGTTAAATGGCATTAATATCATTCTTTGAAAGGTAAGTAACATTAAAATTTCCGGAAAATGTGTTGTTATAGAACGGTTAAATTAATGATGACAATAAACTAAATTAGCACGATAACAGAAAAGAGATTACGAGTTCTTGTTAACATGCATTAATATTTTAAATCGCTCGCTAAATACATAACATAATTTTACGCACATAACGAAAGAAATGGTTTTAAAATGGAGCAACATTTTAGATAAAATTTTAAATCTTTTTTTATCATGGTCGTTAAGGACATTAAGTATTTGTCTAACGGTGTAAAATAAAACTATGTTTTATGCTTTTGTAACTAAGAGATAAATTTAAAAAAATAAATAACAAAAAGTATAATTAACACTTATATAAAATAAATACGTGTTTCTTGAACATACTCGGAAGTATTTTCATTGTTTAAAAAGATAACACACAAACATTGTCATTTATGAATCGTGCAACTCTTTGCCTGCTTAGGCTAGAAAAATGTTAGGACAGCACACGCGAAAATCCATTTCTGTACATTTAAACATATTTAATAACAATGAGCTTCATAATAATGCAGAAAGAACAATAATTATGGTGCTCAAGTAAACTAAAGCTTGGTGTTCTTTATTTCATATATTTATTAACGTGTATGGAAAAAAGTTTTCTCTACTATGTATAACCACGCAGAACTAACGAATAGAGGATTTGGTTCCATTACGTGAAATAATGAAAGGGCTGACTCGTATAATCCAAGGCCTCGTTGGTTCGTCCGGTAATCCCTTACGTTCCGGCTTCCACAATAATGACACCCTAAAACGGCTAATAAGTGTTACGGCAATATTAATAGAGTTATTACGGAGTTTTCAAGTATAAAATATTTGAGAATACATGTTTTTAGCGAGCGATAAAAAAATCCACACCAAGAACATACAAAGTCGACAATACTCACTGTATTATAGATTCTCTGAAATACAAAAAATAAAATATTAAAAAATAAAATACATGCTGACAAATAAATCAAATAGCATGAGAGTGTGAAGCGAGCAACCCCAACTTTCATTGGAAGTGGGACGTGCATAATAGGGTTCCTTACAGCACTAATTGACCTAATAATGATACTGATAAAAATAAGTTATTCACGTCACAACATACAAGATAAAATCTCGAATTGAAATGTGTTAACATTTTTCTCCGTCAAAGTTTTATGTTTGTCCATTTATGATGTAATATGTTCAATCTACATTGGCGCCGAGGGCCGAGCGTAATGGAAGCAATTTTTTTTTTTACTAAATTGTACTATTTTGGTTTTACTGAATATCATGTTGTCTTTACTAGCAGGTTATTTATCTTTTTTATACGAAAATAGTAATAATATACATGATGTTCTTTTGATATCTCAAAAAATATATATTTGGGTCACGTGGCCGCGTTTTAGTTGGCGGGCGGAAGAATTAATTGCGTCTAAAAAGACGAATATCCGATTACAACAATAAATGGCTAATCATTAAAATTGTTAAAACAAAAGCAAAGACTTAAAATTGATACATAATTCCAATGTTTCGACAATTTCAAACATTCGTTGTTCATTTTTCTCTGCTAAACCTCTATTAGTAAAACCTTTTTTAAAACAATGTGCCAGAATCCGAGGTCCCTTGTTACATTCGAGGAGCATGATATGGCTATATTGTGAACTAAGAGCAATGCCACACACGATGCGTTGCGTCGAAATGACACGCGGCGACGGAACGCGTGGGCATTGGACAAGGGGCCAGGGGGTCTGCTCCATCCGACATTCGTCCGAAACAATTACTGTCAGAATGTCGAATGAGAACGAGAGTACATCCATAGGAGAGGAAGTCTGGTGCTGTGACGTGTAAGTAAGTGTCGTTACGTTGCGACACCGGATTACGATTAATTCCCATCTGATGCTCCACCGACAATTTAAAATTGCAACTGATCCCCTCTATATTTTGCAACTCCCAACGGAACTCATTGTAGTTGTAAGATAAGTACAGTCCAGAGAAAAAGAAGTTTTGAAACTAAATATTCATTTATTGAGGAATTATGATCAAATGTTACAATTATCATAGACAATCAATTTTTTTTTGTGACAGGTCATTATTATTTGCATATTGCAAATCACAAGTAACATAAATCAGTCTTGAGCAATATTTAAAATCTAGTTTCATGTTATGATTATCACATACAATGATAAACGTGTCTTGTTGACTGTGCCACAGTACCTACCAAAAATAAACTTGGAAGTACCAGGGTATCAAGTGGAAATAAAATATTAAAATTTGTTCTTGATACACTGCATTGGGGTTCCTAGAGGAATAGAAAATAATTTAAAATAAAACGGAACGACCAGGGGATCGGTTTTAGGGGATCAGATGGGAATAAGTCCGGGTTGCTCATGTGGCACTCGGTGCGTTGAAACCATAATGCTGCGACGAAACAACGCGCCAGTAACTGTACCTGTACCAGTACCTGTGGCAACGCTCCCACGCTGCTAAAATCATAATTTCAGTCTTGGTTTCACGGTACAAGGGGTTAAACGCAGACTTATACTTATGTGAGCAATAGACATGCAATAGCTTATTATGCAGTAGGGCTTTCAATATTGCTGCTTTTCCGCTTCCCGGGAAAATATCGAGAGTCGGTCTAGAAAATTCCGGGATAGAAGACGAGACTTCTCAGACTATTTCAAAAGTACGTTTGCACACTTGAAATTAGTAAAATTTAAGCAGTCGAAACATAATCCTTTAGTCACGTTGGTTTTATTTATTTATAATAAATTATTTATAACTTAAATTATAGAATCAAAAACTGTTTAAAACCTCTTTTTTTCATATTTATAGTGAGTACGTAAGAAACAAAGAGCGTTTAATGTAATTTCAAATAAAGAGGACTGGTTCTTCAATCTCCATAGATTATACTAAGCCCCAATCTACAGTGATGTTGCTATGCCCATGTAACAAGAATAAAAAATGACTGTTAGTTTTTTTGTAGATTTTTGATTTTTTTAATTAAGAGATATAAGTCTCGAAATTACCGATAAAATCGTTCAGACTCTCGAAATTTTCGAGACCGATATTCCCGGAATGAAAACCCTAGTATCCAACATGCGCCATAATGTTAGAATAATTAGAGCTCGAACAGAAACAGAATGAAATCGCAAAGTACGCGTAGAATGAAAACTACGGCCTTTATAGGTTGATTTAAAGTTATACATTAAAGCCTTTTTAAACCGTAACTTCTGAATCAAAATCTGAGAACGGAAATGTTGCAGACAACTGTTCTACTGAAGATCCTTTTCTAGAAAATTCTACAGAGCAAAGAATTTTTTTTTAATAAAAATATATATGCGCATTTGACCTCCATCCATCACCTCCAACTCACCTAATGGAAAGTGACGTCCTCGTCACTTCGACGATGGACCACGCACACCTAAACAATGCCTATTCACTTTCGTCTTGAAAAGGCCCAAGTCATAGGGTTCAAAAATGGAATGTCCTGTACAAATTGTATTTTATTTTTGATTTCACACCTTTCTGTTTAGGTCATATTTTGTTTTATATTAACTATTATTATTCATCAAATCAATAACGATTATTCGTCTAGCTTAAAGGTAAAACCACATAAGTGACATTTTCCACAAAAATCTCCAAATGATGCCCCTATTGTAAGAAAATCACCATTTTTTCGAGTTTATAGCTTTTTAACCGGCTTCAAAAAGGAGGAGGTTCTCAATTCGGCTGTATGTTTTATTTGTATCTGTGGTCCCATTTCATTTCGAAGAAAATAATCCACCTCTAAAGGTGGCTGTTCACGCATGAAGATTCATTTTCATAAATAGCGCCTAAATTTTACTTAAGGAGCAATTATTTTAATGGTTGATTTTGCTATTTCTCCAATTCAAGGCGTTTTTCTCTCATTGTACTTTGAATAGTGAGAACCGATTTTTATTATCTCCAGTGTCAAGTCCTGTATAGTGGCGAACTAGGGGATATTTCAATAAAACTTAGCAAATAGACGTAATTCCACGTACTTTTGAGGTCGGTTTTTTTACTCTGTACTGAGATTATTTGTTAATGAGTTTCACGTGTATAAATTAAAGACTTTTTGTTTAAAATGTCACTTATGTGGTTTCACCTTTAAACAGATATTTTGCTTTCACGTTACAGTGACTGATATAATTATAACCTTTTTTATAAAAAAAAACCTACCTCAAAAGATTGTGGAATCTATTTGCCAAGTTTTTATTGCAAATGAGTGAATTTTAATAAACAGGATTCATCCCCTACTTTGCCACCCTTAGCGGTAGAATACGGACTACTGAGGTACCCCCTTTCTAACAAAAAAAAATCATCGAAATCGTTTCCAAATGTCAGAGCAATCGCGTAACATAAACACACAAAAATACAGTTGAATTGAGCATTTTCTCTTTTCAAAGTCGGTTAAAAAAATTTAATAAATGATTCCATTCTATTGTTCTGTTGACTGACGTCGACAGGCACTGTGCGAAAGGCCCGTTTCGCATTTAAATTTTGAAGATAATCAAGCCCCGTGAGCTCAAAAAAAGCCATGTTAGTAAAAAGGCGTGTAAAAATAACAAAAATACCTCTTATTAATAATATCATTATCGCCAATGACAGGAAAGTTTGTCGGAGATATTAAATAATTTGTAGTTGTCGTTGTTGTCAAGTTACTCAGCTTTCTTTTTAGTGCACTTGAAAGAGAAATGTGTAAAAAAGCATAGTTAGAAAAGTAAATGATTTTATAGTATGGTAACTCCATACAAACATAGCAGCGTGGTTTGTATGTGTGCACACCTATTTGCATAATCTCGGAATACATTCGCGTTGCATAGCGCTGATGATTGTAATTCTATTGAGTTTCCTTTGAGATCACGGAAGAATACAAATTTCCAATTTAAAAATATGTAACAAATTCTGGATTGATAATATAATTTAAACTTAACACAGTCGCTACATCGTTAAAACTTCTAAAGAACGCCTTTATTGCAAGTTACGACGTTATGATTTTATATTGAAATTTTATTCAACATGCTGCCATCTTGTGGCCAATAGCTGGACTATGACGAACGAGTAACATCTGAACGAAAAAAATTTGAAAATTTATTAAAAAAAGACTTACCGATTTAAAATACTACTACTAGTCATATTTTTAGTGCAGCTATCGTTTTTACACTCCAAAACAGCACAATAAGGCATTTTTCTACGATTTTAGAGAATTTTCGCGAAAGAATGACACAACCGTACCATACAAAGCGAAAAGGCGGACCGAGCTCAAGTAGGTCTTTCGAGGCCTATGGTTGGCACGCGTCAGACGCTAACAAACCAATTCCGCACGCACTATTGGCTATCTAAATTAGATGTGATTGAGACAGCCAATAGCGCGCGCTTATTCCAATTTTATCGCGCGCTTATTCCAATTTTATCGCGCGCGTCGCGACTACATGCGTAGCCATGCTACGGGGGCTGTTGTATTTATTCTTCTGTGGTTGAGATTATATTGCAATTATGATAATGTTTATTGTTGCTACGTTTATATGGAGTTACCATACTTGTCTTATTTATACTATGACACAGCGAGCCTAGTGAACATAAGAAGGATTAAATATTTTGTACACAAATATTTGACGCGGTCGTAAGCGACGATTGCCACGGTTATAGTGACAGGTTTTTCTTCATCGCGTTTCGAAACATTTTTGTCATAAAAATGTTAGGAAATATTATTTAGACATACAGAAATCTACATAACAATTTCTAAATATTTTGCGGAACTGGCTATCTAATCCTGTCGGCATGCCACAGCTTCAAATATTTCATAATTGCGGTACACACCCAGGGCTCCGTCCGCTCCGAGTGCTTACCGCTGAGTGAATCGCTGACAGTGCAAGCGCTCAGATTTACATTAGAATCATTTACAATGCCACCATTCGGTTCCGCACGACTGCATACGGCGGGCAACGTTATTTTCACCTCTCTGAGTGCGTGCTTAGGCTCCTTTTTCCTCGTAGTGAGCGCCTGGTGTCTTTCGTCAGATTATAATCTGTACTTATATCTTTACAAATTTTGTTACAGCTCTTATACAAACCCATGTGGACACAGATATAATACATAAAGATGTGATCTATATTATAGATTCATGGAAAATATTGTAACGGATCGTTATACTTACACAAACCTCTGTTTACTAGTAATAAAAAACCGATAAAAAATAACTGAAGTTTAATTGGAACATTAAAAATGCGTTCTCAAGCGATAAAAAAACCGTGTAGGTACTACGTTGAAGTTGCTTAAAAACTGGGCTATGGCATACATACATTACATGTGGTTGTAACCATGTTGTAACTAACCACGCTTCAATTCTTAACGGGTTATCATATCACAAAACAGTTACCTGTAGCACAAACAGGTCAGTATTATTGTTTAACTGTGACAGACAACAATTTATGACAAAATCAATTAAAAACAAATATAAATTACGGGCCATGGAATCTGTAAAGGGCCCGAAACGGTAGTTTGTTTGAAAAAACTAATTCGCGATTTAACTGCAAAGTAAAAAAAAAATTACGACCTCCGTGGTCTTGCACACTGGTTTTCATGGCGTCGCCATCTCTGAGGTCCCGGATTCGATCCCCGGCTAGGTCAATTTACCGTCGTTTTTACCGATTTCATAACACAAGTGCTTTAGTACTTTGGAATCGGAGCAACATATAGCACAGTTAATATAATAGTGTATTAACTCAAAAAGTGTATTTTTTTCAGATTCTACGAAAAATTAATTACTCACTTCCGATTTTTAAAGTTTGTTAAAATTTATGTTATAAGTTAAAATCTAAACAATATCCTACTAGCCAAATTATACTAAAATATAAAAGGGAAACAATTATTTTATATTTTTGAGCAAGGATTATTTTGCCCAGAACTAGGTCACAAAAAGTTTGTCTCGTGTTGAATTAAGTAGATATCTTTTAATTGTGTATCATAATATTCTAGCGATGTTTACTTTGACGTGTAGCGATTCAAATTTTAGGTTCAGCAATAGTATAATCTAAATTTCGCATATTTTGAGTTACAACACTATTGTAATAGCTGTGCGATGTTATGTTGTCTAATATTTATTTGTTATTATTATAACCACGAAAACGCAACAACATAATTTGAATTGAAAAAATGTTGAATATTAATTAGTTAATATTCAACTTCAATATGTAATTTAGACGGGAGTGAAAAAAAAATATGTGGTACATTGAGACTGACAGTAACACAATGCAAAATTTTAGATTTTAAATAATGAGCAATTAAAGTTCTGATAACTAGAATTTCTTACTCAACGAAGATTTTTGAATGCGGTTTTCAGCTACAATAAAAGAGAACCTACATAGTTTTAGAAGTATTATTCAAATTTTCACCTAACACAATAAAATAAAGGCATTTTTAAGAATTTCGTTTAGTATTATTATTCCTCTTAATCTTTTCATATAAAATAACATTTCTTGTATTGCAATATCGTCACAAAGTATTCATAAAAACAAATTATGCCAAGAAAATTAATTTTAAACTTCGAAAATAAAAAGATAATTTACTCTATAACTTATCCACTAAGCAGCGTAGATCTGGCTCTGCAAACCTGTATTATATTAGTCTTAATGCAAAGCGACACCATCCAAAAAATTACTAAATCCTCCACTAATTAGTAAATTGTTTCACAACTCAGCGATCTCTGTCACTAACAAAAAAAATCAGTATCGTATATGTAGTATGTGGGGCAAACCCCACTCCTCTATATACAGCACAAGGAGTATATAACCAGAAATAGGGACGATTGACGGTTGTCGTCAATTGTTTCACTTCAAATTGACATTCAAACATGAGCTTTGCCATAATGGATGAAAATTGCAAAATTACATGTTTAATTACCGATGAAATGTGATTCCGTTTGATTTGTAATTAGATGTTTTGCTGTTTTTCCCACACCACGTTATGATGGACCACGTTAGAGATATTATCTTCATTACAATTGTACGGTTAATACCGCACATTAAGTATGTTACCGCGTCAGCATTTT